GGAATCATCACTCAGAAACCAGATCTGGGATACACTTGAAGACCAATACAGATTTGCTTTTCATCGAATCTACTCAGTTGCAGAGACAAGCCAAACAAAGATTATCTTAAACTCTCTATGGCAATGAATTGAGATGCGCAGTAGCTCAATCAGTCCATTACATCTAACCAGTGTTACCTAAACATACTGGTGAGAAGCTTTTACTCCAGACAAGACTTGTATCATATGTGACATGTTCGAGTGGTCTTATCCTCTAAACAGAATAATATTACAAATCATATCATTCTGTGATAACTTGTGGTGTTACATTTAGGCCCCCTTATCTTTGAAGTAGGTATTAATAGTAACAGAAAACGTGCAATGATTTGATACTGATAAAAGAGGAGTGTAGTTGCTGGAGACAGTTGGGGATAATACCTATCAGTTCTTGTTTACAGAAAACACCTGCATTACTTCTAGAAGTTTCAGTTACTTGAAAAAAGTTCCTCATGTTCTTGCAAGTCTGTCTTCATGTCTGTATTCAAGGGTATCAATAATATCTCTTCCAGTTTTTACGTACTTCTTTTTGTGCTTGAAAAAACATTTACCATGACCCACAGGAAGCTGCTCTCAGAGATCCCCATAAATCATGTATTAACGGTATCCATTCATCATCCATTTCATTTCCCAAAGTGTCTAAAATCACACACTATTGTTAGTTGTATAATTTGTTTTTAATAATAAGCACTTGCACACTTTGTGTAGAGCTAAGAAGACAATATATTTGCAACAACCTTGGTTCACCAACATAAAAGCAGTGCTCTTGAGGTTGTAAACACAGAAGTAGTAGTATAGTAGCATTGATTGGTTGATTGTTGTTTAACGCCGCACTCAGCAATATTCCAGCTATATGGCGGCGGTCTGTAAATAATAAAGTCTGGACCAGATAATCCAGTGATCAACAGCATGAGCATTGTACTACGCAATTGGGAGCCGATGACATGTGTTAACAAAGTCAGTGAATCTGACCACCCAATCCTGTTAGTTGCCTCTTACGACAAGCATGGGCTACTGAAGACCAATTCTAACCCGGACCTTCAGGGGTCATATATAGCAGCAATTTTAGTGGTAAATGTCTACGACCTGCATCACTTCAGGCTTTCCTCCCACATCAAGCTGACCCAGTAGAACTGAATAATACTGTTGAAACGGTTTAAATGCAACTCACACACTACCTCATTGTTTTTATAGTCAAATAATCAAGAAATCCAGTCATGTTTGATAGCTGTGAGTTTGATAACATGATATCGGTGGCGGTGTGTGGTCCTGTGCGTGGAGCTCGGATCACAGAACAGTTAGAGTTCAGCTATGTTGGGCATGGAGAGTCCTTGGATGGGTGACCTGATGTTTGGCAGCTAGACTCCTGAGAGTTTCTAGGACTTTAGTCCTGACCCACGAAGAAGCACATGTGACACATGAGGTCTCACCTTAGGCAAGGGAGTTTGCAGAAAATGGGTACATGGTGGGATGACTATTAACCTTCTAGCGCCTTCAGCTTGGTTTATCCGAGGTAATAATAATCAGATTGTGGTGCTCTGAGCATGCGTCTCCGTGGTGCGGAGTTGAGCACATTACAAATGCCCTGATTGTTATTATATTTCTTACCAAGAAGGCATAACAAGGTTTTCAAGAGAGTTTCATACACACATAAAGATTGTTCTGAATACATCATCATTAATGCAGTTAGTTATAATTGAGGCTTATTTAGTACAGACTATTGGATCTACTGGTGTTTTACAAGAGCAAACAGATGAAAATACCTCTCCCAGTATTTCACAGAATGTAAATTGTTCTAACACTCGATACAAAGATTGGTTTCTTTCCAAACTGTGCAGTGATTTCAAATGAGATCACTACTTTTTTCAAGGTACTTAATTACAAAATGCCAGCTAAATATAGGCCTTAATGTCTTCCATTAGTGTGGAATCTTTTTTTTAAATTGCGAATTACAAACATACTGGGATACTGTTCCAAGGAGTGATGTTAGTGCTTCTTTACCCCTCTGGTCAAGATTTGAGAGTTGACTACCAGTGTTGTAGCCCAGGAGTACTGATGTCAGGTGTTAGGCAACTGATAAACAGCTATTTATACCAGCTAAGTGAGTGGTATTGCTAAAACTTTTTGTTGACACCTGGTGTCATCAATGATTTCCAGAGTCAGTTCTCACAATTTTCTCCCTAATTTGCCTATAATGCCCAATGGAATATTGTTTGGCAGATAACTGAGTGTGATTATTCTCTGGTACTTAAGTTTCATATTTAGTCCTACCTGCTCCTGTAAAATAATTGAAGTCATGACACTATGGCAGTTTACTTTGGTACACCTTTGGACCTTGAAAGTTCACTCTTCAGGAATGGAAAGTGGCACCATGAGTAAGTTCGTGTCCCAAAGGCTAATGTATAATCTTTTGGAGGGACCTTCTGGTGTTATCACTATTTGGGTTATTGAGTGTTTCAGGTTCAGGTATATCCCTCATAATCAGTGCAAACTTCCACTAACATGTTGTATCCTCCTTTGTATATGACATGCATAGCACAAGCTGACAGAAATATGATGGCATCAGTGATGAAGTGGTTCAGATACTGACGGAACCACCGACTCTCTTCCATCATAAAACAGTAATATAGGGCTGTAACAAACTAGCCAAGGCAGTAACGTTAACCTTAAACAATCAATTCACACATACTGACTTAAAACAAGTATCATCCTCTGTGAAAAATGCATCTAAAACTAATAACAAATTGAAAAATAAATTACACGATAAAATGTAGTTCATCAGATAGTAGAAATGGAAAAGGCCACTGTGATAGTGTTTATTCCCCATCTGGACTCCTCAATGTGGAAAGGTTGCTGTCAGTTTAACATGATCGGGAGCAGTTGGTGAAGGAGAAACAATTTCTCTTGTCTTGAAGTGATTTCTTTTCAATTGGGTTAACATCCTGGAGTTCAGACGTGGAGGCTAACAGACAGGATGTTTTGTTCTGTGACAGGAAGTGTGAGAGATCGTGGGAAATATGGACCACATATACAGATACAATATACACTTCAAAAATCGAAACACAACAAACACCAGGCCAATATTGGGTATTATATTATGGGAGTTCACTGAAAATTTGAAATATTTTTCAAAAGACTTTCTTGTTACCGTAACAAATCACTTCCAGAAAATGTTTTCATACCATGACAACTGAGTGATTTGAATATACAAGCTTTTCTCATTTTAAGATGGAATTAGAACATAACACATTGGAAACAGAGTTAATCTCACCATTAATCTCATTACAATGTCTGTATCCTGTGATGGGTCACAGATTAAGTTGACTTCAGAACATTTTCACCTGAGTGTGTAAAGTTATGTTTATGGAAAAGAAAAGCAATATAAATCTTGAAACTATTTCCATAAAAGAACACGAGTGAAGGTGTAATTGACTAGCATGCATGCTACATGAATGTTACTGCTGTATATCAACACCAGCCTGTGTGTAATACCTGCCATGTGTAAGTGGTTGACATACAACATAATTGTGTCGCATAGCAAACACTAACACTCATTGTTTATTTGAAGAATGGAAACCTATCTCAATGTTTGGACTGAGAACACTTGCATGTTCTCAGTGCATTGCAACTTGAGCTGTCATACAGCAAAGACCACTTACTCTTAAATTACCTCTTGTTGAAACTCCCAATGGAGGGTGTTGTCATTTCCAAGACATCCCTTTATGAAGTGTGTAGGGTTGGGTTTATAATTATCACTTTGCTAACAGTATTACAACACAGATAATATTTACTAATGGTCCTTGTTTCTCTATGTAGCATAAGGCTTGTATTGACATGGTAAGACTGGCGTGGTGCGATAAAGTATTTGCAGATGCATAAATAAATGATAAGCTAGCTGAGATGAATTAGTGGTCTGAGGCAGGGAGGAGTTTCCAAACTGAGAGCCTTTGATTCAGAACCCGATGGCTTATTCTGGAGAGGAAAGACTTAATCATGCTGTGAGATCACTCGTGAAGAGATGAAGGAGGGGGCTGGCATCTACTTAAGATCATTTAACTGTTCTGTGTCAGCTTCAGTTAACTATTGTGTTAACAGGTTACACTACTTGCATCATCAGGTATCTTCAGTCAGCATCCAAGTAACCCAGATAATGTGTCTGGATTATGTATCTGTAAATCTGATTTATAGAGCAACCTGTGCAAGACTAAAGGCAGTCATGATATATTTTCACTTTCACTGCCTAATAAGCCATACATCATTTTTGTTTAGATAAATTATTTTTCTCTCTTCCTGGTCTGTAATCTTGAGGACACGTTTGAAATGGTTTGCCCCTAAAAATAGAATTGATAAGAATAGCCTCTGAGTGAATTTCCTAGGCTCTGATCCTCACTTGAGGTTGATATACAGGTCTTAGGGACAAGTGTGGTACTTCTTGGAAGACTGGAATTTTTCAAATCCACAGTTACTAGTATTTGTTTATGTTTTATTTGCTGTTTAATGCTGCCCTCAGCAATATCCAAGCTATATAGTGACAGCCTGTCAATAGTAAAGTCTGGACCAGACAATCCAGTGATCAATAACATGAGCATCGATCTACGGAATTGGGATAGAATGACATGTGTCAACCAAGACAGCGAGTGTGACCACTCGATCCTATTAGTTGCCTCTTATAAGAATGGGTTGCTGAAGACCAATTCTAACTTGGATCTTCATGGGTCAGTGCTTATGTAACTAAATGGGAAAGTTGGTACTTGAGTATCTCAGACAAACATTTCAGCAGTGATTTTGAACTATATCGCCCCTCATTTCATTGCAATATTGACCAACTGATTTACTTCCATGACATTTCGTTACATATCGATCAGACTGACCACCACTGAGAACCTGTTTACTTGGTGTCATATATATTTTGAATATACATCCAAATACACTGTAATTACTGATTTTTATTTTGTGTTTTTCAGGTACGTGATGACCAATATCTTCCTAACATGCACCTGCTGGATCACGGTTGCTGTGACGATTGAGCGCTTCATATCACTTCGATTCATTGCCTTTCCACACCTTGCCTGTACAATATCTCGGGCAAAGATTGCCATTGCTGGTATTTTTGTGGTTTCTGTGCTCTTCCACATCACAAAGTTCTTTGAGTATGTCCCCAACCCTGACCACCACAAAGGACCAACACTGCTCCTGACTGAACTATCCAAGAGCAAGTCCTATGACAGATACGTGCACATCAGCAACATCACACTGACTGCCATCATCCCTGAGTTTCTCCTCGTGATCGTCAACAGCTTCCTCATCTACTTCCTGATGACCCATCACCGCCGTATGAAGCGTCACCGCACTGGTGTCCACTCCAGTGTTGACATGACCCACATCACTATCATTGTCATCACGATGGTCCTCGTCTTCATCGTGTGTCACTCCTTCGGTCTGTTCCTTGCACTGGCCATTGCTGTCCATGGTCGCAGGCATGTGTTCATGAACCCTCTGTATCGAAGCTTTAAGCACATAAACACCCTTCTTGTCACAACCAATTCAAGCGTCAATTTTCTACTCTATTCAACAATCAGCAAAAAATTCCGTACTACCTTTCTGGCTATTTTTTTAGGAAAGCTCCACGACAAGAACCTGTCGTGGAGCATGCAGAATTCCAACTCGAATTTCTCAAGTAAAACTAATGCCACTGCTTATATCTCTCAAATATCCACCGACAGCTCAAACGGTAAAGTTGGTGAACACTCTGAGGTGTAGATGACTGGACCTCAGTTCCACAAAGAGATTGCAGTGCTAAGGTGATCATAACCGTTAAACTGTAACATAGACCAAGACAGGCATAGTGCTAAGATGGCTCAGTGGAATGAGGCTCTGAGGCATAAACACTAGAGATCCCATATGTAAAGCCTGTATTTTCTAGGTGGAAATGTTCTGATCACTGAAGACCGATTGTCTCAGGCCTCTTTAGTGTAAACACACCAGAAATCAGACCTGAAGTGTTAATGAACTTTAAGGTGTAAAAGCCCTGAACCTTTCAGAAGCAAATGCCATCAATCAATCCCAAACACCATCAATATATACTACTCAACATTTCCAAGGACCAAAATAATCATCTTTGGTCAAAGGTGTGGTCCCTGGCAAACACTGAGTAGTATTGTGACTAATGGTAAGGTTGTAGAAGTCACACCGATATTGACCTTCCATGTTCTCTATCAGGTCAACAAGGGCATGAGGTAGTACAGTTCCAAACCAGGAATAATATGTGGAATGTATGTCATTTCTTTTGTGGTGTCCTGGGTCAGTGTTGAGCTTGTTGTTTGATAGACCTGAAGCTTGTAGTGAGGATGTAAATACAGCGAGAAAGGATGTGAAGAGTTGTAGAGTGTGTAGGTTCAGAAGTCGAGTAGATACCATTATCATATAGCATAACAAGCAGCACATCTATATCATTACATCATTTCATATCTCACTCTTTGCATGATAAGTGAAAAAGACTTGATTGGTCTGTGACTAGTTGCCCTATGATACAACATACAAGTCTTCTGCTCAAGGCAACAATGATAGGGCAATGGAAAGACGAAACCAGTGCATTCTGACCAATCCTCAAACTAGATGTTCCAGGGAAAAGGAACATTAGCCATGCTGACAAGGCAACAATCACTGATTTCTTGGGATTTCTGGAGATGGGCCCCTGTGAAACTGTTACATTGAATATGTAATACTCCTGTGAGTAACTCACAAATATCGACATGAATGTGTGGAGCCCGGACTCCAAAACTTGTATTATCACAACATCCTTGTGAGAGTAAAGGCTGAATGACTGACCGGTGACACTTTAACACATCATACTGGACTCAGCCACTGACCTTTGGTCTTGATATTAACCTCTTTATTCTGTCCTATGTCTTCATATAACCTGAATGTTTGTACCCATATTTATCTACATGTAGTCATGCTAGTATTGGTTTGTGAATGTTAAATGCTGCGATATATTGCAATATTGCTGATGCAGCACAATGTGTTACACTGTTTGTGACTATAACATGTTTTCAACTGTCCCTGATAGATATTGAAATCACACATGGGAGTTACGTATATAGCACTACCTATATACTATTTTAGACGATAGCCTTTCTCGCCTCATTCTATAATGTTTATATACATCTACATTTTAAAAAGAAATACCTTTACACAGACTTCTGTTGGAAACTAACAGAGCAAATGAAATTCAGTTACAATGCCATCAACCCTCTAAGCTTAAATTAGGTCTGTCAGCCTGATCAACTAGGAAATCAGCATTCTGTTTTCCTTAAGAACCCATTACAGTAATGTCCCCCAGATGTATTGAAGCCAAGTAGTGCTGAGTGATAGATTCCAGTGGAAAGTGACAAGTGTGGTAGGTTGATGCTGCTGCTGCACACAATGGACCTGGGTCATGGTGACATGTCGTGTTGACAGAGGCAATGATGCTTGCCAAGGAATCCCAAACACTTGTTGATTTCTTTCCCCATGAAATACATCTTGGAGAAACAACAAAGCATTGAAACCTAATCCTTCTCTGTGGGAAAAACATAAGAGCAGGCAAGCCAAATCTGTACATACATGAACGAGAGTTTCACTTTTTCTTGCATCTCTAAGTGCTATTTCCCCCTGCCTATAGCAGAGACATGACTGAAAGATTTTAAACATAAAGGGACTTCTATATTTTGCTGACAAAGAACTAAATTGTCAATGAAAGCAGCATTTCATATCCTGCTACATCTTCTTCAGTGTCTTCCTTCTAAAGTGTCTTGATCATGTATCCATCCATTGTTTCCCAAAATCTGATACTTTGACCAATCCAATGGTTCACACAGAGGGAATGCTTGAATGTTTACATACAGTCTTCAACTTTTACCAAAATCCAAAGCCGAATTCTAGCAGAATTATTATGATCTAGTAAGCTAATAATTGCCAATAGTATTGTGCTAAAATCCTGTGGAATTATGCCAAAATGTTGTGTTCTGACAAATTATACTCCAAAGTTTGGCACAGACTGTAAATACATATGCCACTATGTGAGTCCACAACATTAAAGTGTGTTTATGTTTAATGTTGTCAGTTAAAGATGATACTGTATAAGAATTTTATTCATAGGCCAGGACTTGAAAACCTGTGAATGTGTTTATCCACAGACTGAGTTGACAAAGCCTGCTTCCTGTACCTTGTCTGGTGCCTTGCTGGTTGGATAGTGCCTATTGTATCTTTTAGCCTGAGCAACCTGTTTCCTGTATGCTATGCAACTGGTTGGCGTAATCATTTATCACTGTACATTGTTCTTGCAGTAAATAATCTGTAGTTGATCCTATTCATAGCAATAAAATATTTTACATCAAATTCCTGTCTCCTTCCTTCATAGTTAGTATACACAGGGTTCCATATACATCCTTCAGCTATTGAGTGATGACTCACAAGTCATAATTTACATAGGGTATTGTTGGTTTTCTATAGGTATTCAATATATTTTACTCCTTGGGTCTTGTCCTTTGGGTATTTTAAACCAGTGAGTCAACCTGTTTTAAAATAATTCTGAGTAATAAACTTACGGGCAAGAGAAACGATACCAAGTTGAAATCACTGATATTACAAAATGACACACCACCACTGTGAAAAAGGAAAGTGAATTTCAATAACAGGGCCCGTTTCACAAAGCTCTCGTAACGCTACGACTATCATAAGTCAATGTTACAGTATAGGAGGTATGAATACTACGAGAAAAGTTACGAGATCTTAGGCTTACGAGAGCTTTGTGAAACGGGGCCCTGGTGTATAGGCAACATGCACATGGATCTTGCCCATACACCTGCTATTAAAATTCACTTTCCTGTTTCACAATGGTGGTTTGTCGTTTTGGAATAATAGTGAAAGTGTGTCACATCAGCTCAAAAGGATCACAGCAATGAAGTTAGTGAGACATGTCTTGAGTGCATTATTGACAGTAAACACAGATCAGCATCATGCCATCCAGAATGACCTGAAGCTAGATGTTTTGTAGTCAACAGTTTATAGCATGTACTTGGATCTCAGCAGGTGATAAGTGAGACATCTCTAAGATCTATTCTTCCAACTGCCTCTACATGACAGTATCATATTTTAATGCTGTGCCTATTTACAAAATGTAATTGTTCAGTGTTGCAATAAGGCCAGACCAATTTTATTTCTCGCTTTATGGATCCCCCAGTCGTATTTTTTCAAGAATAAGAAAAAATTTAAAATTGTTGGGGATTGTTCTTTGCCCCATATACACTTCATAAATTGCCAGAAGCAAAATACTTTTAATATTTAGAAGGAATATTACTTTAACTGGTGATTTTATTTTTATTTTTTTCCCCTCCTACCTTTAGGTATTCTGAGGACAAAAATCTGTTAGACAAGAAATAAAATTGGTCTGGCCTAACCAAGGTTTATAACTTCTGTGGGTAGCTTTGACTTACCTTGCTACAAAATACTAAATCTGATTGCATAACACTAGAAGAACGAACCTAAGCTAACTGATTGTGTAAGTTAATGCAAACTGGCTGATGCACAAATATCTTGCCACACTGAACAAAGAGAATTTCACACAAAAACAACAAAACAAGTGTGATGGTTGATTTCAAGGTGGGCATTTTGTGACGCATTGTAGTTTTCATATCTTCAATCTACCGTTCACAAATGCGAGGCTGTTCAACATTAAAACCATCCTTGACACTTATATTGCTGAAATGTAGCAATGCAAGCCAAATTGTGTTAGAGCACTAGCTTTGATGAGCATCTCTTAACACTGGCACCCTGTGGAGACTGGAAACAAGATACTGGCTCATGGCCAAACCACTGCCCAGTTTTGTCATCTGATTGCATATTTCCCTAGGTTTGATGGGAACTAACTAAATTAGAAATACCTCTCTCAATACAACATGCATCATTAGAACATCTTATTCTCCCCCCTCCCCCCCTTCCTTTATAGTTGCTTTCACAGAAATGTTGCTGTTTACCACCATGCGGTTCTTCTCTCATGTCATTCTTTTCAACTTTAAAGGCTTATTTGAGTTTGTGAGATTGAAATTACTGGCCATCACTGAGTTTGCTTAATTGAATCAGGATATGTCATTAACAAGGGATGTTACAAGACAATTGGGTTCCTATGAGAAGTACATGGCTGCTTTGTGACAGATATCAATATTCCATGATATATTTCCCTGTCTTGCATCAATTTCACATGGCATGTGCACATGATATCAGAACTCAGATTCAAAGATTACATAACTCAAATATTCAAAGATATCTGTTTCATTTCTAACTTTTTATTTTAAATTATTCAGAGTGGTTTTATGTCGTCATCAGCCATATCATTAAAGGGGACCCCAAGGGTCTTCACACACTGTACCTATGTTAGGATCCAACTGGGGGCCTCAACGAGATAAGGATACATCATTACCACTTTGAAAAAATACTTCTTAAAGGATAAAACACACTCCTAGTAGCTCCTATGGCAACAGTTCTATAAGTGCATGAGTAAAAGCATGAGTAGACTTGAACTGTAGTGGCTCAGGCACTGTATGATCACTGAGCACCAGAAAAGTCCTCGGTCAAAAAGTCCTTGGTAAATAAGTACCGGTAAAAATGTCCTTGGTAAAATAGTCCATTTGTAGGAAAAAACTAATTTAGTTATTTGTTTGACAAGATTGACAGTCTAAGTAAACTTAGGCTCAGGATAGCAGTGTAACGAATAATACTGAGCCTAAGTTTACTTAGACTGACAAGATTGACATCAAATATTTAAAATTCTAAGATGCCTATCGGTTAGAACAATCGAAAAAAAATACATTATCAGACAATAAAGGTATAGTTTTTTTGATGACATAACAATTGAATGACGTTATCCCATCACTGCGCCATTCTAGTGTGCCCCCTCGTAATCGAACCATTTTACATTACGTCACAATGTAAGCAACGTCACGATGCATGTCAGTTGTCATCGCCTCGTACAGTCTCCTACAGTAAACTACTGCGTTGCATCCTGTTTCTTGGTTTGCAGTTGCTTCACTCACCTAACATCACTGGTGGAAACATTACGTTTATGTTTTCTGACGTTTAAAATGTCTCAATTCGACTCACAAGTTTTCAGCGACACGGTAACGTTCGCAATGTTTACATTCCCACAATGCAATCGTGGAATGTCGCTTGGCTATTCAGCTAGTCCTCGTGCTTTAACTATAATAGTTCAGGGCGAAAGTTTGTTTTATTATACTATACATGGTGGTAGAGCGAACTGTATTTCTAAAATAACCATTAAGAAATCACATATGATGACAGATAAAATTTTTGAATTGATGTTTGATCTTTTAAACGACATGCATCTAAAAAAATTATTATGTGATGCATTATGTAACTTATAACTTATAATGTTAACTGTAGTCATTACATATGATTTGTATATAAATATGATCACGTCATAAGACCTATAACTTGGTTGTATGTGTGACAATGAAAAACTAAAAACTAAAAACAAACATTGTTTTTCTATACATTTCTTGTTAGAAAATGAAAAGGGGACTTTTAATCTGGAGGAAAATGGGGACTTTTTTACTGGTACTTTATTACCGAGGATTTTTTTACAGACCCCCCCCACAATTTGCCAAACATCAATGACAGCCATCAGTACCAACAGCAGCCACGCTGACCAGTAACTGTTGTCATCAATTAAACACTCAGCGTCTCATTAGTATGCTGTGTAGTCAGGAAGTGATAAGTTTTGTGACCTATCTTGCACTGAGTGATACTAGGTCTTTAACATGGGAATGGCAGGGGTGCACTAATCACTGACATCACACTCAAACATAGATCAAACACGTACAATACCAAACATGCACATATGAAAGTTAGTCTGTCGTACAGACCCTGAAGGAAATATATCCAAGAAAGCCCACACAAGTCTAGAAAATTTGGCAAGTCTAGATTTCCTCAGCTTCAGGAATGAAGAAAGTCTCAGGGCTCCTTTTCATTATATTTTATATTCTTTTACTATGAATTTTTCTCAGTAAAATATGTTCATTTCAGAGACTAGTTGTTAGTCTAATATGAAAGTCACAAGGATATGGTGCTTTGTGGAATGAGACATCTTCAATATGACTTGTTTGCACTTCCAGTTATGTTAGTTTCCCTACACCAAACATGGGGAATGAGGACTATTTTTATGGATATACAACTTCTTTATTCTATAGGCGACGTTTCGACATAGATTCTAATGTTGTTGTCAAGCAAGTGGTGACATTAGACATTAGAATCTATGTCGAAACGTCGCCTATATAGAAAAAGAAGTTGTATATCCATAAAAATAGTCCTCATTCTTCATCTCTCCATTTTCTAGAATGCCAATCAAAGAAACCAAACATGGGATTGTGGGCCTGCTATACCTCACATGAACACACTGGGACATTGATAACACACTGGAGCTGATCCATCAACCATCACTAAAATAGCAAGTAAAATCATATCTATATATCAAAATCAGTGAACAAAATTTGTAAATTCAGGTTCATAAGCCACTCATGATGTGTTGCTTGTGAAGGTACGTTGCTGGTCCTACCTTCAGATTGGCCTCCGAGACCTTGGTTGCCTTCAGCTCTGCCCGAGTAGTGTCCAGCTCATACTTGAGTTTAGTGGCTGCCTCCTTCAAGTTGGTGATGTGGGTAGTAGCTGACCCCAGGCCGTGCTCACTGTCATTCACCAGCCCCTCTAGTCTCTTCACCTGCACAAAACAACATGCATCATCATCTCACAACCAGTTGACACACTCTTAACACAGGTCAGTTTCTCATAGGTCTATCATACAGCAAGTGACTTAGAGTATGAACGGCTTTACACTGCATTATTAGAATACTACAGTGATATGGCAATGGTCAGCTGAAACGTTCACATTGTACTCAAGAGGACGGGGGAAATTGAACCTGGATCTTTAGTACAATGAAGAAATGTTTTAACCACTAGGTTATGGTCATGAGAACAAATCACTGTTGATTTGCCTTTTGATGTTTACACTGCACTGAGGTTTATTCCAGTTAAAGGACACGAGCCTGTAAATAATTGTGTCTCGACCAGACAATCCAATGATTGGAATTATGAGAAATGAACCACAGCTTCTGGGTATACAATCAGCTAAGTCACCAAATCAGACCACATGATTCATAAAGTCATCTTAAATGACAATTAGAGCTTACAGGGGACTAATTACAGGCAGGAATTCCTGTGGGTTCAAGTCTCTGAGAGTGTGAAAGAGGTTAATATATGAATACACAATGCCTTATCACAGTTCAGTGCCTCTGTGAAGCCAAGGAGCAAGGTATGACTGGCAAACAAAGTATCATGACTGGGATGACACAGGGAACTCATAATCAAATAAGGTACACAACTCTCCACATCACATTGTACTGTATTTAACCATCATGATTTACAATAATTAATATTGAATGTTGATGATATTTTTCTTAACATTCACACAAAACAAATGTGGATTTCTGATGATCACTTAATGATTTTGTAATGTGCTGAGATAAAGTCATGACAAAGGTTTTTGAAAAAATGATAGAGTTATGAGACAGAAATGATAGCTTGCATAACAATACTAGAGACAGAAGACTGCACAGACTGTCAGTCAACTGTGTAAACAAACTGATGCAGCAAGTTCTGCACTAATATAACTGACACACAGAAACCTGTGATACTGCCCGAATAAGAAATCTTTGGAGGAAGTGAACAGCAAACTCATTTTCCCTTTTGATCTCACAACGTTTCACTACCAAAATTTGATAAGGAATTAAAGTGTTCAGCCAGGTTCAGCCTTGATGTAAACATGGGCTATTTTCAGACTGGGGCCCCTTGAATCTATTTACAGACGCAATAAATTCAGAGATATCTTCTCAATAGATGCTAGATGGTCTGATTAAACCGCTAAAACAGATTTCAAACATCTGCACGGTGATTCCGTGACCATTAACAGGAATCATTATAGAATGCACATCTTTGAAGCAGGGCAATGGCCACATTACAAGGATTGCTGCCATTTACAATTACAATCAAACAAGCATCAAGAACCTAAATTCAACTAACTACCAGCAAAGCTTCCTCTCTTTCACTTTTTCCTACCTGGTATTAAGAATATTTCCTTGATTGTTTTAGTGCTGATATTCCTGCCACTGATGATCTACCATGCCACAACCAATTTAGCTTATTTCTTTCAGGGATATGGGATCAAGTCTTTGCATGTCACGCTGAAGACCTGGTTCAATTCCTCACATGGGCACAAAATGTGAAGCCCATTTCTGTGTTACCTGCTGTGATATTGATGGAATATTGCTAAAATCAGCATAAATCCATACTCACTCATGTGTTTAAAAGCAACAAAGGTTTCAGTTATCCTCCTTGATCTTTCAGCATTTGTACTTGTAAGAAAGTCGGCTCCAATTTACTTCATGTATTAAAGACCACCTCCGTGGTGTAGTGGTTAGAGCGTCCGCCCGGAGAGCGGAAGGTCGCAGGTTCGATCCCTGACCGCGTCATACCAAAAGACGTTAAAATATGGTACTTGTTGGTCCCTGCCTGGTGCCCGACATTAATGGGTACAACAAGGACTGGTCGGCTCAGAGTCAGTATAATGTGTCTGAGTGGGGTATTCATGCTTCACTGCGGCATGGTATCTCAGTGGGCTAGCACTATAAAACCAGCTTAAGTCTGGGCTAGTACAAGCAGCCGCACATACACATACACACCCATGCACGTCGTCATATCAGCGAAATATTCTCAAGCACGACGTAAAACCCAATTTCACCTCACCTCACCTCATGTATTAAAGACCGCCTCCGTGGTGTAGTGGTTACAGCGTCCGCCCGGAGAGCGGAAGGTCGCAGGTTTGATCCCCGACCGCGTCATACCAAAAGACGTTAAAATATGGTACTTGTTGGTCCCTGCCTGGTGCTCGGCATTAATGGGTACAACAAGGACTGGTCAGCTCGGAGTCAGTAGAATGTTTTTGAGTGGGGTATTCATGCTTCACTGCGGCATGGTATCTCAGTGGGCTTGCATTATAAAACCAGCTTCTGTCTGGGCTAGTACAAGCAGCCGCACATTCACATACACATGCATGCATGTCGTCATATGAGCGAAATATTCTCAATCACGACGTTAAACCCAATTTCACCTCACCTCATGTATTAAAATTCAGATAGTAATGTTTTCTACTCATTTTAACAGGGAAAACATTTTCATTGCCAGAGTTTCCAAGAGGAAGCTTTGGTCTATGGTAAACACTTCTTTAAATTTTAATAGGCCACATTTTTCACCATTGATGAAACCTATTGACTTGACAGACACGTTTGTTTGTGTTTTCATTAACAATCTAGTGTTTGAGATTAACTGTTCAAGCACAAATGTCCTGTTATATCCAGCTGAAATCTTTGTTTTGATGCTTGCCGATGTGTGGTGTGGCACAACTATCTTTTAAATAGGTATCATACATGATACGGAATGAAAATATATTTATCTGAAATTAACTATGATTCACTTGATTCACTTGAAGACTTGAAATGGTTGCAATATAGAATTATCCACAATATCCTCCCAACAAAACAACTACTTTATAAAATGGGATACACATCCTCACCAATATGTCCATTTTGTGAACAAGAAAGAGAAACTATCCACCATATGTTATGGGAATGTGAATTTGTTTTTAAATTATGGAAAGAAATAGAATCATGGTTGAACTCGGTACAGTTACAACTGGAACTTACAAATAAAATCGTTATATTGGGAATGAAAGGAAAAAACAATAATCCGATTAATGAAATCATTTCAGTTGTCAAACATTATATCTACAGATGCAGCATAAATGGTTTCAAAGCAAAGTTAGAATATTTAAAAAATGAAATTGTCCGTCACTATGATATGTCAAGATATGTTTACTTATCTGCGGGAACTGAACAATTGTTTTTTCAACATTGGTCAACATTACATCTATTACTTGGAAGATAATCCAGCCAATTATACTTTTTCAGCCAACTGTCCATTTTCATACATGTATTCATATACCATTGTATTATTATGAAACTTATCTATACATGTTTGCCTGTACATAAAATATTGAAAATAAAAAAAACAAAAAACAAACAAACTATGATTCACCTGAAATAATTTTCAAGTACAATCCAAGTATTTTAGAGCTACACAAGATAATCCCTGCTTCCCTAGTTTATATGCTGTATCTCTCAGTAGTTTATAGTTGGGCACCACTAATCTAGCTGGGATTAGTTAAAGAGAAGACTAACTCTCCAGTGCTAAAATTTCCTCTCTCACGAGTCAAGGGGATAAAACAACATTTATGAAATGGAAGAGAAATCTTTTGTGGAACTCTCCTGTGTTTGAACTAAAACAAAGGGAAGAGTGCAACTCTTAGATGAAAGGGATTGTAAATGTCATAACAACTGATGTCGGTTCGGAAAGTTGGGAAGAGGTCAACCGCCAAATGTCCCTTGGCAAATAGCTCCCTAGGAAAGACCGATAATGGACGCTAAGACACAAAAGGGCAGATGTGCCAAAAATATAAAAAATCCAAGCAGTCTTATTCAGCTTATGAAAAGAGTCATCAAGAACATTTTGGTTAATTCTATTTTATTTTGATACAATATATTGCAAATTCACACAAACCAAGAACCCTTCTGCAGAAATCAACCAGGGCAGTAATCAGTGTTATCTCCCCTTGAACCCTCACTCCTTGTCATTAAGTTGTAGTAAATCACAGCTGAAGCCCAACAGCCCCCAACAATTTTTGCTATGCGCTGATATTTCTGGTTCTGCTAGTTCTAGTTGTTTGAAGGGATCAGTGGTCAAATGATGTAAAACCACACCCAGGTCCTACACAGGTCAACACGGCACTTTTGATCTTTAAGATGAAAGCCCTTAAGCTCCAATGTTATCTCGTGAGCAGTACCAATCTGCTTTGAAATGATGCAGTGAATGAGTTGATGGCAGCTACATATACAGCAACTGTACATACATACAACAAACAAGCATTGTCACTAAGGTGACATAATCCCCCACCACAAATTATCAAATCAAACTTATAAAGTAATGAAAGTTTAAGATGAAGTTAAATGTCAACAAAAACATTATCTTGCTCTTTAGTTGTCCAAACACACACATATTTTCAAGACTGACTTTGACCTTGACATGAATGTCATAGTGTATGAAATATGCAAAACTAGTACTAAAGAAAGTGCTTATTGAAAAACATTCAAGGGAGGTCTTGAAAGTCTATGAAGAAAATCCAGCGAACCGTTCTTAAAATATCTTGCTGACAATTCAGGTTAACATTCTAAAATCTTCATAGTGTCTTCGTGACCCTACAAATTATGTGAAGGTCACCAAAATTGACTGGGCCCTGCACCTTCCCTGGATGAAGCTTGGTGTCAAATATGAAGAAACTCCAGTGAATGGTTCTTGAGGTATCTTGCTGACAAGCATAACATGTAGTTTAATATGGTGAAATCTTCATAGTGTCTCTGTGACCTTGAAAATTAAGTGAAGGTCACCAAAATCGACTGGGCCCTGCGCCTTCCCTGGATGAAGCTTGGTGTCAAATATGAAGAAACTCCAGTGAATGGTTCTTGAGGTATCTCGCTGACAAGCATAACATGTAGTTTAATATGGTGAAATCTTCAAAGTGTCTCTGTGACCTTGAAAATTAAGTGAAGGTCACCAAAATCGACTGGGCCCTGCACCTTCCCTGGATGAAGCTTGGTGTCAAATATGAAGAAACTCCAGTGAATGGTTCTTGAGGTATCTCGCTGACAAGCATAACATGTAGTTTAATATGGTGAAATCTTCAAAGTGTCTCTGTGACCTTGAAAATTAAGTGAAGGTCACCAAAATCGACTGGGCCCTGCGCCTTCCCTGGATGAAGCTAGGTGTCAAATATGAAGAAACTCTAGTGAATGGTTCTTGAGGTATCTCGCTGACAAGCATAACATGTAGTTTAATATTGTGAAAACTTCAAAGTGTCTCTGTGACCTTGAAAATTAAGTGAAGGTCACCAAAATCGACTGGGCCCTGCGCCTTCCCTGGATGAAGCTTGGTGTCAAATATGAAGAAACTCCAGTGAATGGTTCTTGAGGTATCTTGCTGACAAGCATAACATGTAGTTTAATATGGTGAAATCTTCAAAGTGTCTCTGTGACCTTGAAAATTAAGTGAAGGTCACCAAAATCGACTGGGCCCTGCCCCTTCCCTAGATGAAGCCTTGAAGAAACTCCAGTGAATGGTTCTGGATGAAAGCATTGGTGTCAAATCTTCATGTCTCCATGACCTTGAAAATTAAGAAGGTCACTACAGCCTTCCCTAGATGAAGCTTGGTTCTTGAAGAAACTCCAGTGAATGGTTCTTGAGGTATCTCTGACAAGCATAACATGTAGTTTAATATGGTGAAATCTTCAAAGTGTCTCTGTGACCTTGAAAATTAAGTGAAGGTCACCAAAATCGACTGGGCCCTGCGCCTTCCCTGGATGAAGCTTGGTGTCAAATATGAAGAAACTCCAGTGAATGGTTCTTGAGGTATCTCGCTGACAAGCATAACATGTAGTTTAATGTGGTGAAATCTTCAAAGTGTCTCTGTGACCTTGAAAATTAAGTGAAGGTCACCAAAATCGACTGGGCCCTGCGCCTTCCCTGGATGAAGCTTGGTGTCAAATATGAAGAAACTCCAGTGAATGGTTCTTGAGGTATCTCGCTGACAAGCATAACATGTAGTTTAATATTGTGAAATCTTCAAAGTGTCTCTGTGACCTTGAAAATTAAGTGAAGGTCACCAAAATCGACTGGGCCCTGTGCCTTCCCTGGATGAAGCTTGGTGTCAAATATGAAGAAACTCCAGTGAATGGTTCTTGAGGTATCTCGCTGACAAGCATAACATGTAGTTTAATATTGTGAAATCTTCAAAGTGTCTCTGTGACCTTGAAAATTAAGTGAAGGTCACCAAAATCGACTGGGCCCTGCGCCTTCCCGAGATAAAGCTTGGTACTGAATATGAAGAAAATCAGCTCTTGAGAACGGCTCTTGAGATAGCTTAACATGCAGGTAAAACGTGAAAGTCCCCTTGTGACCTTGAAATGAAGGTCAAGGTCACCAAACCTGACTTGGACCTTTCTTATAGTGTGATGAACCTAGGTACCAAATATGAAAAGAATCTAGTGAACGGTTCTTAAGATATTCCAATTCATACGTAACGTACCATATTTGGTCTGGTTAAATCCATTTTGGGCTGGTAACATTTTGAAGTTACCAGCCCTGATGTCTGGCTGGGTTTTTGGCTTATTTCATACACTGTTTGTAGCCACCACTGGATTCACTCTTTTACAACAGGCTCTAAATGAATCCCATGTAGAGTCATAAAGGGCTCATGTTTAAGAATGAGTATGGTTTTAAGCCGCTTTTAGCGATGCACCAGCAACGTCATGGTGTGTGACACAAGAAAGCCTGTTGTGAAGAATAGAAACGCAGAGCAAAGACTTTAAACACTAGGCTACCCCTCATGCCTTCCATTTTGGAAGAATATCCCTCAGATCATAAATGTTGCAGGTAGATCAAGCACTTATGCTTGTGCTTGTGCCTGATTTTGTGTAGATTGATCAAGTTCAAAAGTTCAAATCTGGCAGCTGAGAACCAAAGACAACTGGGCCAATGTGAAAACCCACAGTCAGCTATACAGACCAGCTGCAGATTGCGTCTTACTGAGCATGCTGTGGGAATCTTGGTCACAGTGCTGGAGTTAGCGAGTGAATGAGTTAAAATTTAAAGTCACATCGGCAATATTTCCGCCATATCGTGACTAAAACACGTTTCACAGTGCGGGAAGTGGTGTAACCTGATCCAAAGTTAATGGATCTGAGACTGATGACACAAATACTAGAAGCAGGTGAATGGATCTTGTAACAACATCACCACCACCAACTACCTTTGACACTCATACATTTACTGACTTCATCAGTATATGACCAATGACAAAAACACACTGAGTGAAGCATCACTAAAATACTCCTGCCAGAAACTTAAGTTAGTGTGTGACTCCACATCAGGCAGGGCTGTAACAACACACATTATACATTGTTTATAAATAAGATATAAACAACCAGAGGTAAAGTTGTAATGATACAAGATTTATGACAGACACTAAAGTCTGTCACCACCATCAAACAGTTATGCAGTCAAAAGTAGCTAAGAAGTTTGAAGCTTAAAACAAATTTAGGTATTAATGCATGTGGTAACATTAACGGAAAGGATTACCAAAATGCATCATAATATCAAAATGTATTGTGACGGATATCAAAAGATACAAAAATCAGCCAAGAAAATGAGCATTGACATTCAACTTGATAGAATAATAGTTCAAGGGGAAGTAACTCTGACAGGCAAACTTCTCAAGAAGAGAGGCAAGTTTTGGTTTCTGTTAAGGGATTCCATAAGAGAGGGAATTAGTGATACCTTGCATCAGGATGACATATAATTTACATTCCTAACTTTACAGAAAGAAAAAGTCTTTGACATGATGGAATACTCACAAACAGTATCCTCATAGCACTAAAGTTGTGGTATAATCTGCCAACCTTTCAACTGAATATATTATCAAAATGGTTCATACAATATTACGTGAAAGATATGGTGCACTCATGAGGATTAACTTGTAGTTTCTGAGGAAACATTTGTTGAACTGTAGTATGAGTGCTTCAGTACTGACATGTTGAAATTGATTGAAATTTGTTTGGAAAAGATTGCCATGAACATTTTTGGAGTTTAATCAGTGGAGAATGAGGAATAAACTGTTAAAGTAAAGGTACAAAGTGATGAGTTCAGGTAAACACAGATGCTAGTTTACATCCAAACAACCCTTTTAAGCTTTATGACATGTTTAAAATGTATCAAGAAAATTTGACAAGTGTCCACTGGTGACAATTTGCTAGGTACAACAGTTTACAGGGAACATTTACATTGTTATACAATTTTCCTATTTTCGATGAATTAATCTTTTTGGTCATGTAAGGTCTGAAAGGACATTATTCAAGACACCTACGATGAGTGAGGGTTTAGATGAACACTACCTAGCTACCTACTATCTCCAAGACTTCCGCAGATACTGATAAGTGACTCACCTCGTTCTCTGTAATCTGCAGTTTGCTGACCAACTCTGCCCTGACCCTCTCAAACTCCAGCATGACAGCAGCTTTGTCTGTAGTCAGCTGCTTCACATCCTCGTCATACTTGCACTGGTACTCCTGGAGAGAGAAGGGAGGGGTCACACACACATACACAGTGTCCACAACATGAAAGTATCCTGTACACATGCATCCACCTGCTCCAGTATTACACCAACATTACCCAGTTGTCAAACATATCATAACAAACAGAGATCAGTAGATGTGGAAACCAAACTAAAATAGAAGCTGACATGAGCAAAATCTTCAATAGAGCATTAAACAAGATCAAGTGGTTCTTGAGAAGAACTGTTCATACTGGATGATGACAAATTGAAGAGAACCATGACCAATGACGTATACATTTTCACAAGTTTCATGGCTGCAGTGGTTTCTGAGGAGACACCCTATTTAAGACATAACTACTTTGGAGGCCATATCACAAGATCATAACCTAAATTATTACCCACATGGTCAACGTATGGGTAGTTGCATACTAATCTCGAATGTCACACGAGTGTCGTATCGCGTTGGCCTGTGTCATAAACTGACTTGACCTGAGATTTGATTGGATAACCGATGACCTCTCAGTTAGGTCACGTTGTGACGGAACTACTTGTTCATTAATAACAAACGCGTGAATTCATTCATTCTACAACTTAGATGCATTCTGGGAATGTAAACATTGCGAACGTTGCTGTGTCGCTGTTTAATTGTGACTCGAACTGAGACATTATATCCATTGAAAAATATAAATGCAATGTTTCCACCAGTGATGTTAGCCGAGTGAAGTAGTTGCAGACCAGAATGGCGTAGTGTTGTCAATACAGTGTGACGTCATGCAAAAGTGTACTACAGAACAAAATTCTTCCATAACCTCTTTATGAAACCGCATAACAATAACAGAAATACGATATTTTGTCAATTTAATGCATGTAAGACGTGGGTAATAAATAAAATACCACACTCGGTCTCATTACATACTAATTATACGAAACTTGTGACCTTCTTATGGTTTCTGACCTCGCTTTCGCTCGGTCAGACACCATAGGAAGGACACTCGTTTCGTATAATTTGTATGTAATGAGACCGAGTGTAGTATTCTCTATATATGTGAAAAAATCTTTAAAATGTGAAAGGTCAAAACTTGGCAAGATGATCCTAATGACTATCGATTCCCTTCATTGACAAATTCCATGTCAGGGATGTTAGGGGCTTAGTGTACAACCACTGAGCTTCTGAATTTGGACTTTCTATTTTTTCATTGATCATGTTCTTTCTAACATCAGTCTCATCACATGAAACAGATCTCATGGCAACACCTGACATGTTGTCCACCCACCTGTTTAGTCTGTTCCAGGACCTCCACAGCAGCTGTCTTTTGTTGGTCCATCTGTTCCTGGTGTTCTCTTTTGAGAGTACTGATGGCAGCGTCGTGTGCTGCCGTCAGCTGCTTCTCCTTGTGCTGGTACTTCTCCTGCAGACTCTGGATCTCACGCTCCAGTCTCTGCTGCAGGGTCTGCTTCTCTATAGACAAGTCTTCCAGGGACTGCAAGACACCAGTAACATTTGGGTAGTGCTCCAGTGGATTTGGCGTCTAACTGCACAGTTAGACATATTACAGCTTTATCATCGTGGTCTCTAGTCAGGGCCAGTGAGAACTAGTGGTCGACAGCATGAGCAACGATTCATGAATACCACATTGGGATGAAGGCCAAACATTTGTTGGCACCGGATACTAGGGACTCATATGTCAGCAGCGCTGATTTAATAAACACACTTAAACAATTATGTATACACCCATCAAGCACTGGGCCAAGTCGCACAGCCTGGTACTCAATGCAAATTAGTTGCCTCTAACACTACCACTGGGTGATGGAGACCTATTGTAACTCAGGTCTCAACAAGGATTTCCACTACCAGGTAATGCAATTAAGAATCATAGACCAGTAGTCAAAAACTGCAAAAATACCACACTTTACACCCCCTTTCATCTGCAATTGTGGACAGGCTATAATGGATTGATCTGACCTCTAAGTTTGCGAATTTAATGCTAAATTTACATGTCAGTCACAACATAAACAATTCATTTTGAAAACTAAAATTCCATCCTACATCAAGGAAAAAGTATTTTTAGTCAAATGACTGTCTTATCAGTGATAAAAAATAATTTCAGTCAAAATTATTCATCCAACATGTTTCATTGTGAAGGCAACTGCAGCAAACAGTTACTAAGGGAGATAACTCTGCTAACACTACTGCAATCATTCTACAATCTGCCTCCAATAAGATTACACATTTCTCATTAGAGAATGCCCTGTTGCATCAATCACCATTTTTTGGCCCCCTACCTGTTCTAAAGACTTCAGCTGTGACTGCTGTTCTTCTGAAAGGTTCTGTTTTTGACTTTCTAAGTTCTTCCTCTCTGACTCCAACCATGCCAGTTTGTCTTTCAACTTGGAAACTTGTGACCTGAGCTCGTCTATTGTACTACTCTTCTGAAGGATGGTGGCTTCCAGCTCCCCGATCAGCGCTGCAAGGACAGAATGTCACTATTAATCATTCCACCACCTGTGCACATTATTTCCATGCACACTTTTTTGAAAGACGTACATACCTACCTGTGAGAAAAAAAGGGTACCAGAACTAAATCCTGTTATCACTACTATCAGTAGATATACAGACATACAGCATTATCATGGATGATTAGGAGATACATTTAGTACTTGGAAAGAAATTTTCTTCACGTTGGCTCAGGGTATCAGTTATTGGTGTCACGACTTGACATTAATGCAGCTAAATACAAGATTAAAAGTTCTAATATTTCCATTTAATACTCAACATATCTATATCTGATATTTGTGATGAATTAAAGTTATGTCTCAGATCTAAATTTTACCATGTATACAGTCTATTCCATGTGGATCAAGTCATCAAGTGATATAACCAAAGGGGCATAACTCTTGCAGTCTTAACAGTAGAGAGTAGGAATGTTTTTGAAAATTGAATAGGGCTAGTACCATAAAATAATATCAGCTCTTTGAGTAAGAAGGGAGTTTGAGAAAAAGATCAACATGCATGCTAATTTTGTGTGTATCCCTACTGTGACATGAACATGTCTGTCTTGTATGACTGATTCACTTACTTGACTTCCTCAGCATCTCGGCAGCCTGTTCCGTACATCGTTCTGTCATTGCGGATAGATCTGTCTCAACATCCCGTAGCCTTGTGGACAACCTCTCCACCTCAGCCTGTTGTTCTGACAACTGAGAGACAAGGCTTATAGTTATCAAACAGAGTGTTGTTCATCTGTCACGGACACAAGATTTCATAACTTCAAGATCATTTCAACATGTTCGATGGATTTAATCTCATGGTTTCCTAAATCATTTCATTGCTTCCAAAAATATCTATTCATCTGGCATATCAAAGTAATCTGTTTGCTCCACGAAAAGATGATATGTCAAATGATCTAATGATCATTTAGTTTGTCAACTTATTTTGTAATTCATGATTAACAGATCTATGGTAGTAGAAGTGTAAAAATTACATTATGGAACGGAACCCTAATTGTACAGTTATCAGTACCTGTGTATGTTCAATTTTTGAGGGGAGTAGCCTGTGTGTATCTAAATGTTTTGTTGCCCATGTATATATTAGATGTTTATTCATCTAATGTTGCTAGAATGTATTTACTTGTTTTTCAACACATTACTTTTGTACAACTACTTGTTTGTAAAACACTGCGCATGTATATTTACCCATTTTATAAAATGTACAATGTTTAAGATATATTTACTCATTTTTTAAGGTAAATGTATATGTTTGCTTGTCTGTGTAACAAATGCTGCCTATGTGCATATTTTCCTTTTTAGCATGTGTACTTTAATTGTTAAACATACATACCTCTGTCTATTTACCTATGTGTTTCACTAACATTACCCATGAACATACAACCTGTTTCTTCAAAGCAAGTTACAACTGTATATTTACTTGTTTCTTCAGTGCATGTTTACATGTTGTTACCCATGTGTATTTGTCAGTTAATCCAACCAATAATGACATTGTTGCTGTTGAACATATACTTATTTCATTTACAAATGTTTCTCATATTGGACATATTGCCTGTTTCATCATGTTTCATCATCAAAGCAGGTTACCAGTATATATGAACTGTTTCTTCAAAGCATGTTACCATGTAATAATACCCGTTTCTTCACAGCAAGTTATCAGTTCATATTACCTGTTTCCAACATTGTTACTGAATACCTTTCCTAGCCAGTCTAAGTAAACTTAGGCTCAGTATTATTCGTTGCACTGCTATACCAAGTCTAACAAACCCTAGTAGAAGGTTGCGTCAGCTAACCTTTTGGATTAACCAATCAGAACACAGCCTACCAAATCGCGTAAGTTAACATTCACACATACTGTGTGAACCTTTATCTAAAAAACTCGAATGATTCTGAATGCTATTTTCCGCCCGATCGCTTCCGAGTGATACACATGGAGGACGCCATTATTTGCAACAATGAGTAAACAGTCGCTGAAAATAGCGTTTTTGTCAATAGTCCAGGATGTCATCTTGCGGAAATATAAGCTAATAGTAACCATGTCATTAGAAACCCATAAGCGTATATACTGCAGGTCCAATATTTGTGTTTTATACGGATTTTGTTTGTTGAGATCAGTGTCAGCGACTGGGGAAGAGAAAATCCAAAAACATTTTGTAAGTCCCGCCGAACCTTAACAAGTAGCCGTTGTCTGATTGGTTAAATTTGTTCGACAGTCTTGCGTTTGATTGGACGGTCATAGGTCACTCATAGGTTAGATGACGCGACCTTCTACTAGGGTTTGTTACATTCAGTATAGCTGTGTGACGAATAATACTGAGTCTAAGTTTACTTAAACTGCTTTCTCAGCCCTGCTATGACCAAGGAACACATATACAGATATATTAATATTTTCACTAAAAGCTTAGGCAAGTCAAGTTGAAACTTAACCACTTTTCTTGATTCCACTGCAGAGGAGGAATGGTTCTTTTGTAAACACAAATAACAATTGTTTCGACAAAAAGGCTTTCGTAGACTAAGGATCAGTCTATACATATATGTGTTTTTCAAAACTAATCAAGTTATTACACCATGAATATTAACATGTTTGTTCAACTAGTATTTCATAAATCATGTGTACCTGTTTGTTCACGTCATGTGAAGTGCTGTCTTTGTCCCTGAGACTATTCTGTAACTGTAGAAGTTCATGTTTGTGTTTCTCCACCAACTCCTCACTCTCCGAAAGTTGACTGATGAGCTGATCAATCTGTATCTTCAGCTCCTTCTCTAATGCTCCGAAATCCTTCACCATTTTCTCCTGTTCCTGCCGAAGCTTTGCCACATCCCCTTCCAGTGCAGCATTCTGAGATGCTTTCAAAGCTTCAAGCTCTTTCTCAAAAAAGGCTTGTGCTTTGGACATTTTCAGTTCATGGTCTTCCTCCAATTTGACTTTCTCATCCTGCAAAACATCTATTCTATCCTTCAACTCCTGAATTTCCGTTTTGAACTTGTCCTCAACTTTTGTACACTCATTTAACCAGTCACTGTTTTGAGATCGTTGAAATGTTCGTAATTCATCTAACTCAAGTTCATGTTTCTGTCTAATTTCGTCCAAAGCTCTGGCTTTGTCAATGTCTACCTGCTGCATCCATTCCTCAAATTTAACAACCTTTTCTTCGAACTCTTGCTTAGCCTTCAACACTTCCTGCGAAAGGTCTAATATTCTTTTGGAATGTTCTGTCTTCAGCTCACATTCTCTCTCTTCTGCACGCTTCTTAAACCTCTCAAACTCATCCAAGGCGGAACTTTTGTACTTCTCTTGTTCTGCCAGGGATGATTCGAGTGTCTGTATTTTCTTCCGATGATCAGCATCGGCATTGATTTTGTTTTTGTAGAGTTCCACTTTTTCTTTGGTTTCTGACAGCAGCTGTTGCAACTCAGACTCATGCTGCTCCTTGATGCTCTGAAGGACCGCTTCGTGTTCATCGTTCTTGGTGTTGAGAGCATAGATGACCTGGCAAGACACAGACATCATTTACACAGGGCATCAACACTTGATTTAAGAAACTAAGGACTTTGAGATACATGTAGTAACTTTTATCAAAGTTAAGCAGACAGACAGACAAATTTTTCCACAAATATGATGGACAACATTAGAACATTTGCAGCACAAGCCCACCATCAGAGAGTAAATGTTGTTTCAATATTGAACGAATAATATTGTAGCTACAACATGGACAGAGAAACCCTGTCAGTCTGATCGAGTAAATTTTGGAGATCCCACCTTTAAAACGATTACCCCAGGGAATTTGTTTACAAAGTACGTTACTATGCAGCTACAGTAGCCAGGAATGAACAATCTGTCAGTTCATTAATCTGGACAATTTGGGTGGGACATTGCTACTGTCAGGATTGAGAGGGTTCCACTGTATTTCACAGTGGTTGGGAAACAATCAAGTCTCCGCAGGGCTAATGAAAAGCAACAGTCCAAGACAAGGCTGCTATTGCTCTAAGTGAAATAGACCATCCCTTTACCATTAGGCAGATGGCAACACTGTGAAAACTAACTAGAAGACTAGACAAAATAGAGATTAATTTTTAAGATCTATCAGCAAATGCAAACATGATTGCTTACTCAGAAATGTTAACAATATAATTTTATATTAAATTATTTTCTTTAATATTTCATACCTTTCATGATATATAATAATTGTCAAACCATACAAAAACCAAAAACATAAAAACACAACTTAACAGCTACTCTGTAACTCTTCAGCATTCACCATATACATATTATCATGTCCTTTTCAAGCCCTAATGGCTGACAACTCTTCATCCTTACATAAAACCTGCTCCTGCTGTGACCCACATCGTGATCCCACCCATCATCTGTGCATTCATCATCCAGTAATGATGGTGGGCCATGTTTTATATACTTCATCCCCGTGGCCCACAAACCAGATAAAGCCCAGCCCTTATCTCTCACAACAACCAAACTCCCTGTTCAAAGCACAGATCTTGTACCAGGCTATTTATACACAGTAAAGGTGCTGATTGTACTACTGGAAAAGAGATTTATAAACATTCACTTGTTCGCCAGTTTCAGTTGGACGCCTTTTGACATTTCTCTTTATGCCAGGTCAGACTAGCCTCCCTGGTGTTGTTGGCTCTCAAAGATCACATGTTGAATTGTGATACTGACAAGCAATTTACCAGTAAGCCAGGGAGAATACCAGTGCTATTTAAAGCAATGTACGACTGACATACTGCAATGCACATCACATACATACTGGCGCTGTGGTCTGCATGAACAGATCGCATGTTTTTTGGCATGTAACCGTTCCATGAGAGCAGCTATCATGAATGACTAAACATGGGTCATTATCATATTAAAAGGCTTACTCATCTAATTTTACCAAATACATGTGTGACAATAATTGGGTGGAACCTAATACATGTGGGAAACGTTGGAACTTCAAACAAATACTAGTATAAATCATAGCATTAAATAAAGGTCATTTCATCTTCTGGAACATTGAAAACAAGTTCTACTTTGTTCTGAAGAATTACCCTTTGATCACAATGGCTAAGTAAAATGGTTTAATTACAAGCACCAAGACAGATTTAAGACAGGTTCAAATTTTGAGCTTAACGGATATATTTTTACTAAACCATACACATATAACTATATTTCTGGGACTAAATGTTAGTCGTAGTGTTCTCTTCTAAATGTAATAATGACAAGTACAGTTTTCATGTTGAGAAAAAGCCGAAATTGATGCAGGTCATAGATATTTACATCACTGCAGTGAGTGAGTGAGTTTAGTTTTACACTGCACTCAGCAATATGGCAGTGGTCTGTAAATAGAAGAGTCTGGACGAGACCATCCAGTGATCAACAGCATGAGCATTGATCTATGCAATATCTAGCCCAGCAACAATCATTATCTGCAGGAATATTTGTTTATATACTACATCATGTATAGGACCAGGCAACATTACTGCTTGTATGGTTGATCCCTGGATTTTCTGGTCCAGACTCGATTATTTACAGACCGCCGCCATATAGCTGGAATATTGCTGAGTGTGGCATAAAACTAAACTCACTCACTGCTTGTATGCTTCTTTGTAATAAATATCATATACTGAGTATATATAATACATACACTATGCTCACCAAAACCTTGTATAATACTATGTTTATACTAGGCATATAATCTCTGGAAAACATACAGGACTAATAATATCCATATATCCAATCTAAACAAGAAGGGCATCTAGAGCAACCAGCTACCAAGTGCCAAGCTTCAACACAAATGCCACCTAGCCCCTTTCCCTCCCAGATGTCAAACACAAGGTGACTTTGATGAACATATAGCTCTTGTATCATTTGCCGGAGAAGTCAGTGATAGATTCCAACAGCTAAAACAGCTGGTGGAGTACACCTCTATTCTCTGGTCTTCTGTGTATGATCCTACACACCAGCGAGACCAGCGTTCTGTAGTCTGCTGGCACACATATTCTTGAATTACACCAGACAGCTTCACCCTCAATGCTGGGACTACTTTTTCTCTTCACAGCCATGCTGAGAAAACATTAAAGCCTCTAAAAAACCTGCAGTATTAATACTAATATCAGGCTGCTAAATTAATTTTTTATTATAAAAATTAGGTCTTCAGGCTCAGATATGCATGTCAGCAGCTGGGGGAAAGAAACTAATTTATAAGGATTAGACTAATATGATCTTACCTCACATGTCCTTTGCTATATTGAAGTCAGCTGTTTAAAGTTTGTGTTGCCGGTGGTGGCCAACACATTTAACTTTATTGCTTTAATTAATCACATTAATCTGATGGACTGTGTGAGTGACAACATCCAGGGAAGTCAGTGTTTTGAGGCACAAGTATCAAGCATTGTTTCCAACTGTATAAACCCGTGAAGATCCCCATGCTTGTCGTAAGAGGCGACTAGCAGCATTGGGGGGTCAGGCTCGCTGACTTGGTTGACACATGTCATCGTATCCCAATTGTGTAGATCGATGCTCATGATGTTGATCACTGGATTGTCTTGTCCTGACTCGATTATTTACAGACCGATGCCATTATAGCTGTAAAACTGCTGAGTACGGCATTAAACCAACCAACCCATCTATATAACCAGTAATTATGAATATGATCCATATCACAAATTGGATTATGAATACAAATATTGTGTAACAAATACAATAACATATCAGCGGTTGATATGCTATTTATTATACTCAGTGAACCAAAAACAAAATAGACTATTTGACACATGTTGACCATGTGGACAGTGTTAATTTATCAGGACAATGACCAGTAGCCACATTATGGTCAAATCAAATATATATGATTGTTGACTGTTATACTGCCTGGCTTGGATATATTCCATCTTGCATACCTCACTTTGATAATTAATGCCCACACTCAAGTAAAAACGGGGCGGTCCAGGGGTAGCCTTGTGGTTAAAGCGTTGGCTCGTCACGCCGAAGACCCGGGTTCGAATCCCCACATGGGTACAATGTGTGAAGCCCATTTCTGGTGTCCCCCGCCGTGATGTTGCTGGAATATTGCTAAAAAGCGCTGCGTAAAAACAAACTCAGTCAGTCAGACTCAAGTAAAAACACAAAAAAGTAGAATGAATATTTGATTGTGGTGATCGTGAATAACAAACTGAATTCATTAATGTGAGTGAAATGTAACAGCCTTAGTGATGACTGCATTTGGAAAATCAAAACTAAATACAAAGAAACCTTCAGTGATCATGCTTATACCTAGACATCTCTCTAAAGTAGATTACCCTCACAAGCCAACACCTGCACACATCAGGACTAGATTATCTCAAATGTGAGCATCAAGTCACTAGTTCTGTGTATACAAAACTGTTTGTTTTACAACAAATGTGAAAATACCAATGACATAAAAAGCCAGCAGCTCAATCATTATGTTTGCCTAATGCCTCATAGATTACCTGCAATGCCATGAACTATCATATCATCTTCAGTCAATCAACAAGGTAGTGCTATAACTTAAAAAGTCAAAAGGTAACACTAGTATGGTGTGCTTCCAAAAAAACATACAATACATGATACAAAGCAGTGGAACAGGCATGAATTTTATGTGAAGTAATAAACCATATTTCTCAGTGATCACATAAAGGTGAGTATTACTACTTTTCCAGCACATTAACACTGGGTAATACAGGGTAACTTGTCCCTCTACCAACAAGTACAAGAACTCAAGAAGTGATATAGTATCAGAGCTTCATTATGGTAGACACATCATTCATATTGCCTCAGGAAGTCAATGAGACAATGGAAGAAGACAGCAGTGTCGATGAATGATACTTGTATGGGAACAGATTGCTTATAATAACCTAGGACACTACAACCTGATCCTCACTCTGCTGGGCATGCTTCCAAATTCCTCTCAGTAACCTAAACTATTGTGAAAACATGGCTGTCATAAAACATACTGTTTATCTGAAACTGTACTAATCAGCAGACATGGTAGAGGGAAATCTCAACATTCCTGTCCAACATGTTGAAGCTGAGAACCTACTGTAGTTAACCAGATTTGTTCCCCGCTTCTTCCACACCTTGTGTGTACCCAATGTAAATATTCAGCAAATATCTAATACATATAAATTGTGCAAAGCAAGATACTGGTTCCCATTAACCAACACTTCAAGCTTTAAGAGTTGACTTGGATGGATGGGTTCAGTGATAGCAGTGTACATTGCTCATTACATTGACCACTGGTTTTTCTGGTCAAGACTTGATATCTACACCCCCTTGATACAGCTGGAATACTGCTGACCATAAGATTAAATAACATTTATTCACTTCTTCTATTTATTTCTTGTTTGTCTTAAAAATACGTACCATGTGCTTACTGAAGTCCTATATATAGTTTTAAAACAATATAATCCTGTACTAAAGTTACCAAAGTCATTTCGTTATCATGGTAATAGATGAACAAAAGTTACAACTTC